AGAAATAAATAACTACTAAACTATTTAAGTTCGTTGGCACTTATACTTGAATCTTAAGAGCACATGCATGTTAGAAAAACTCTATAAATTAATCACCCAAGGTAGATTATCTGATTCAGTAATCTTTTTTTTTTTTTTTAAACTAAATAGACTTGTAATTGATTAACAGAGACATGCATGAGCAAAAGAAAATATTGATTATGTTTAGCCAGCCGTCATGGACCAATTGGTTAGTAAATTGATTATGTTTTCCCTGCAAATAGTCATGAGTAAGAACAGCGTATAAATATAACATAGCAGAAGTTGCCTTCTATTCACTCCACAAAGCTATACTAAAGTTACAATCTCAAGCATGAAAACCAGTCATTTTTACTAGCTGTAGTGTTTCCTAAACCAGGCAGCAGGCACTGCGCAGTAAAAAGAACATCAAAATCAATATCCCTTTTAGACATAAGGTCATCCACACACCCCCATTAAATTTATCATCAAGAACATATATGCCAAAAATAAGCATGTATGTAACTCACATTTTTGTACAACTTATCATCAAGAACATTTATATAAAAAATTTGTATTTCTCTTCTCTTCTATTTCCCTCAAACTGCACATATTATAATTTTCATCAGAAAAAAATGCTTTAATTTTTTATTTTTATGACTATAAGTAAGATATCTTTTCTATAATCTAAAAACAAAAAAATTAAAAATCAATACATTTTGATTTAGAAATATAATCAAAACATTTAATTTTAATAATATAATAAATAAAATTTAAAAGTTATATTATATCTCACTTATCCTATGATTATAATTGAACATCTCATATTTTTAATGCCCTATAATATAATTAAAAACAATATATATTGAGCCTAAAATAGGAAACAAGGAAAATGGAGAATCGTTCACGCCGCCATCCAAACAGGCCTTACTTATGTCCTAAAGGGTGTCTCAGACGTTGCCCCAAGGTTATTACAGCCTTTCGTTGTTAGCCCAGTACCTGCTTCATTCTCTTCCTCTCCCGCCATTGTCACCAGGTACGATTTCTACCCTGCTTCTTTAGAATATGAAAGCTTTTCCTTTAGATTCTTATATGGATTTCTCTAGTTATATTGGGTTCAAGAGAAAATTTGAAAGTTAAGATTTTTAGATTTGAATGGTATCCTTAATCTGAATTTCACTTCTTATTCTGCAATTCATTCGTTTTTAGGAGAAAGGAAAATTGTTTTTTTTTTTTTGCAAACATGGTGCGGCCTTTTGGTATAAAGGGGAAGAAGAGAAAGAAGAGAAAGGAGAAATATGATAGGGAGGGAGAGGAAGAAGAGCAGATTGAATCAGTGAAAAGAGCTGCTATATAGAAGGAAATAATGGATGCAGAAGATAAAGAGAATAAAGAAGAAGAAGAAGAAGAAGAAGAAGAAGGAAGGGTTGGGAAGCATGAACTTGAAGGAATTCCAATTGCCTCAGGTGATCAGAAGACAAATAAACCTGAGGTTGTGTTTGTTCTGGAAAGGGCTTGTTTGGAGGTGGCAAAAGTTGGAAAGGAAAATGAAGGGTATCTAAATTTCATTCAAGTATATTAATGAAATTTCACATTGGTTTTGAGATGTATGAATGTGATGTAATTTAAGGATATTGTTATGGGTTTTAGAAGAAGATTTAGGCTTTTTCTTTAGTTGCTGCTCTATTAGGTTCAGCTCGCACCAGTGTGTTGTTTCCATTATCTTCTTTTTTTGACTGATTATGTATATGCAGAGTAACCAAATTTTGAACTCTGAAGATCATGCCAATTTCTTGCGGAAAAACGAGAAGAATCCTGCTGATTATAGACCTGATATTATTCACCAGGTTAGCAAACATTAGGGGGTAGCTGGCTACTCTTTGTAATTGACTTTCTTAAATTTCTTGATTTTTGTATCTGGTACCTTATACTTTTTATCTCTTTTTCAAGCATAAAACCTCATCAATTTTTAGTTGATCACACACAGCCATTTCAAAATCATGGTTGTAGATTTAATGCTATTTGCAATAGATTATTAGTATCAAATTTATTGCGTGATACCATGATGATGTTACTTCATTTTATCTTAATAGGCGCTCCTATCAATCTTAGATAGCCCAGTTAACAAAGCTGGGAGATTGCAATCTGTGTATGTGAGGACAGAGAAAGGGGTACTTTTTGAAGTTAAACCTCATGTTCGTATTCCAAGCACATATAAGCGCTTTGCTGGTATCATGTGTAAGTTCAACGGGCCAATTATCATTTTTTTCCCCCATTGTTATTAAGGATCCCTATGTGGCTGTTTCTTATGACTCTGTTAAACAATAATGCAGTGCATCTGTTACAAAAACTGAGTATAACTGCTGTTAGTAAGGGAGAGAAACTACTACACGTGATCAAGAATCCTGTAACTCAGTATTTACCTCTCAACTCTCAGAGAATAGGTGAGCATGATTTCAGATTTTGTTCCCTCTGACGGTGCTGGAACTGACTTTATTTGCCTGCATGTCAGGCCTCTCATATGGTTCAGAAAAATTGGTTAAAATGAAGGACTACGTGAAAGCAATTGATGATGATACGTATCTTGTTTTCGTGGTATGTTCAAAGAATAGTTTGTTCTTTCCACCTCTCTGTTATCAAATTATGACATGTATTCTTCTTATCCTACTATCTTTCCTTCCACTTCCAGGTTGGTGCAATGGCCCATGGGAAAATAGGGACAGACTGTACTGATGATTTTGTAGCAAGTAAGCACATCCCACATTGATTTTACCGTTTTATTAATGTTTGAAGAATTTCTAGAAGGATTTTTTTTTAACTATTTGGACCAACTTAGTTTTTTTGTCATAGTTTACATAGGCTACTTGTTTGTCAAACTAGGGACTTTCCCTGTTTAGTGAGACAGAAGTATCAGTACAAATTTATGGCTGAAGCGAATGAAGGATACTTCGCTGAAGCGAATGAAGGATACTTCAAATTTTGAGGCTCAATTGATCATTAGAATCATTTTAAATAACTTCTAACTGTTTTGCATATCATCTCATGTTTATCAATGATAGGCATCATCTCTGCTGCTCAGCAGCTGAGATTATACAATCTTGACATATGTTTAATACTGTTTTCCCTCAACTTACTCGCAGTTTCTGGATATCCACTAAGTGCTGCCTGCTGTATCGCAAGAATTTGTGAGGCTGTAGAAGATAAGTGGAATATATTGTAATCTGCCTCACTTTTTATTTTTATTTATGATGTAATAGTATTCTTATGCGTCAATGGCAGCTCATTCAGAACATTTGCATTTTATCTGATGTACCATATATAGCAAATATCATTGGTTATAATTTTTGCCAGACTTGGGTTGAGATAATGAATATGCATTGTTCAATTGACCTAAAGCCCGAGAGATGATTTGGAACCAGCCATATCTGAAAACCTCTTATTGGGTGCCACTTGAAAAAATACATACTCTGATCTTGGAGGTAGGGTTTTAATTTTTGCATGACAATAAGTGGTTCTTGATAATGAATTTATAAATGTCACAACATTTAGATAGACATGTCATACCCTGTGAATGATCTCGTAACTACACGATTAGTATGGTGAACTGAACAACTTACAACAAAAGGAGTATAAAACAAAACCAATGATCACAAGAGTGGTCAATTTGCTGGACATAGAGGTTGCTGCCCAGCCCTAAGAGGAAGTGGTCACTCTAGGTACCTGCACAACTCAAAAATAAGGATACTCTTCTGTTCCCTTTATGCTACAGAGTTCACCTAGTGATATGTATTTGAAGAGAAGACTTGAGTTTTAAGTTAACTATGGCACCACATAACCACACTATGAACATTATGTTCATCCTCAGCCCTAAAGAACCATCTGCAACCTAAAAAAGAAAGTGATAGATGTGCTGGACTTAGAGGTTGATGCCCTAGCCCTAAGAGTTCACCCTAGATATCTTCACAACTGAAAAACAAGGAGACAACTCCATTCCATCAGTGCTGCAGAGCATGCATACTGATGTATACTTGAATGGATGGCTTGAGTTTTAAGTTAACTATGGCACCACGAAACCACACTATGAACATTAGATTCACTACCGAAGCCATAAAGAAGTATCTGCAATCTTGTAGAAGGGTGTTGATTCCAGTGATCCATTACTGCCCTTTTGTTGTAGCAAGCTGCTTTCTAAGGTCGAGGTTCTCAAGAGCTTTGGAAGCTAACTGATCCTTCAGGTTTGCTGAAGCTTCCTTGAATTTCTTGTGCATAATGTCCATCTCATCTACTGCTTCTTTGTATCTGTAACGATAAGCATCCAACTGTGCTTGTGTTCCTCGGAGCCTCATCCTAAGCTTTGCCTTTTCTTTACCATTTCTGACTTCATCCTTTATAAGAGAATATGCAAAAATGTCACATTGCCATTTAGAGTCAAGTGAAAGTAAAAGCTAATGAAAAGTGATTGTAGTCGTATTAGTGCAAGATAGGACGACTTACAATGTGCATCTTGGCTTCCATGCTCGATAATCTCCCCGTCAATTCCTCTACTTGAACTTTTCTCTTCAACGACTGGGAATAAAAAAAAGAAGGGATTATATCATTTTCAAAACAGATAGGTACTAAGAAGACTGATTTTTCCTTTGTATCAACTTACTGCCTCATTCCATTCTTTTTCTACTGAAGATGCACGACTCTCCCATTCTTCAATTTGAGACATCAATTTATCCCTTTCTCTTGACATAACAAGAAGTTGATTCTTAATATCCTGCCAAGAAAAGAACATTACCAGTTCAATTGAAAATACCAGTTTCTAAAGAATAACTACATGCTCATTGAATAAAACTTATGGTGTTTCTCCCCAATAAATTTATCTTGCAATGCTGCACATTGCTGATAGAGATAGAAACCTGGACTTCATCTGAAAAGATGGATCCTGTATCCATCTCTCTAATCCTGACTAATAAATCATCTCGTTCTCTTTTGATAAAACTCAGCTCCTGCTGAAGGGAATCCACTTTCTCTTGAGCATGGTGAAGCTCCAAAGAGAGCTTCTCTGAATTTGACTTTAACATCTGTAGCAAAAACTGTTGTTAATTCTGTATCGGAAGCAAGTTATACAGAGTCATAACCATCAGAATAAGATAAAGAAAATACTTCCTGCATCTCTTTGCTTTCTGCGCCCATTTTCAGTTCATTTTTCAGCCTGTCTATCTCTAAAGACTTCTCCATACTGCAATAAGAAAATGCCTTCTTAATCAGGAATGTGAAATTTTTTTTTCCCATTTCTTCTCCCATACCTCCAGTAGACTGCAAAAAGAAAAGAGAGAAACCTGCATTTCTTCTCCAGTTTTGAATCTTCCTCCAAAAATGTTAATCTTTCCCTGAGAACGTCACATTCTTTTCTGTAAGACTCCAATTCCTTCCTCACCTGACATTTAATAAATTCCTTATCAAACTAAAGATATATGAGTGCACACTATAACTTCACTGTGAGAACATCACTTGGAATCACTAAAAAGAGTCAAGACATTTGTCAGGCAAAACTCAAAAGAGACAATGATGCATTTCATAATGGAGTGTGGGGCAGATGATGGATTACATAAAAGAAGCTATTGATAAACAGGGCTATACAACAAGTAGCATGATTCACACAAACAAATGCCACAGCCCATTCAATATTCACTTCGATGTTTCCCTCTTTTTCCAATTTAGTTTTTGGAGGTTTTAGATCTCATCAACCGTATGGACAAAATAAAACATTGATAAATCATCAAATCCCGTCTTCAACCACACAAAGTATCATGAATGTAAGAAGCAATTGACTACAGACAGATGGAGACAGAAGTTCCGTATTGTTGATGCAGTGAATAAAAACATTATTAGTCCAGTACCTAATGAATGGCTTAAGATTTCAGTTTAAGCATTCCTTGATCGCAAAATATTTTAGCATCAGCAAAGCACCAATAGACAATATTTTAGCAACATTGGAAAAGCACCAATAGGCAATCTCTTAATGCATCTGAGAAACTTTATATTACCTCTGACATTTTGGCAGATAAAGACGCAATCTCTGCATTGTATGAGGCTGCTTTCTCTTCCATAGATTTAATAGAAGCCTTCTCTCGAGCATATGATATTGCCCTTTCCTCCTCCATTTCTAAAAGTGCATTAGTAAGTTGCTGCAAGATCAAAGTTATAGGAAGCAAGATTTAGACCAATAAAAGAAAATTTAGGGGAAAGTTGTAACTTCATATTCTTTCCTAAAAATACGTACCATTGCCAATTCTTCCTTTTCTTCAAGCAATCTCTTAATGGTTCCTTCCATTTCCTGATGATTGGAAATAGATCCCTCCAATTTAAGTTTCTATTTAAGAAAAAAAAAAGTGTCATGTTATAAGATCCAAAACAAACAAGCAGACTCCACAAATATCAATAGATATAAGAATGTAAGGGAAGGTACAGAGAAACTCACAAGATTAGCGACTTGATCTTGCAAAATACTCAATTCCGAGCTTGATATGTTAAACTTTTCAGACATCAATTCCAATTCTGCCACCAAATTTTCATTTCTAGATATAGCCTCTTCCTTTTCACTACATGCAGCTGCTAATTCCTCTTCAAGAGAGGCAATTTTGGTTTCCATTTCAAAAGCAAGAACTTCCAACTTCCTATATTCATCCTGAAAAAAGTAAATGAAAAATATGATTCCAATTCAAAATAATCTAAACACTTGGATTTTTCCTTTTTTCTATTTTGTCAAATTCAAGAGATTTTGTCCAAGTAATTATAACCAAATAAGAAAAAAATCTAAAGACCAAAGGCCTAGATACCCTTGTTATTCAAAAAAAAAAAAAAAATAGAGAATCAAAAAAAGAGATCGTTGACCAAACAGCCTTAAGTTTCCTAATTTTGAAAAATAATGTCCAAGCATCCTGTGAAATGTATAAAATAAGTAGTTGCAACATAACCACAAGCAGAATAATAGTTCTTATTATATGTACGTTAGATAGAGGACAATTCAGGTAACTCAATGCAAGTAACAGCTCCCAGTGATAAAAATCTAAAGCAGATTCAACCTAAGAGCCTGTTTACTCTTGCATGAACCCTTTTTATAACAAAGAATATTTCTTAAGCATAAGGAGATGAAGCTAACTGAAACTGGCCTTGCTATAATAAGTCTCATCATAATCACCTGGATTGTCTGATCAAAAGCTTTTGCCTTCTTTGTATCAAACACTGAATCACGCCTTCTACCAGCAATTGAATCACGTTTGCAGATATCACGCTCAAGAAGAATCTTCTGGCCTTGCAAGCGTTTTACCTCTCTCTCAGCAAATGCTTTTTCACCCTAGAAATGTGCAATAATTTACCATATTATAATCCAAATAAAACCAAACTTCGAAATTCCAAGCACGAATGCTGAACCTCAAGTTTTGTCTTCTCCTGCATGGCACTCTTGAGCTTGGATTCAGTGTCTTTCAACTTTGCTTTTGTTTTCTCAAGCTCTTTTCTCAAACTTTCCTTTTCTTTTGCCAAGGAACAGGATGACAGACATAATATCTCCCTTTCAAGAGTTTGAATATGAGAAAGAAGGCTGGTTTTTTCCAGGTCATGTTGTCCAGAAAGTTCCTGCAACAATATCAAAATTTTTATTTATTTACTTTTTTGGTTGGCCAATACGATGTCAACAATGTCAGGGAATACATCTTTACCAATAAATAAAGTGGCAATAAAAGATCTTACCACCAAGTATGATTCATGATTCTTAGCACCTTCTCTTAGTTCCTGTATCTCCTCCTCCATATCAGCATATTGATTATGCAAAAGAAGCTGCTCATATGAACATATTTTTTCTTAGGCATGGTTTGCAAGTGATTATAATCTCCAATATCAAGCATTTCTATACTTATGATTTCCCCACCTTCTCATTTTCAAGTTCAGCAACCCTTTGCTTCATATAACAATATAGCTTTTCGTGGTTACTAATGATTGACTTTTGTTTCATGGAGATCTCAGACATCATAAGCTTGAAATCCTGCACATGGTGCATAAAATAAAATACTGAGATTGCAGTTCTTAATTCAATTTTAGCAAATTAAACACATCTAAAATTCTAATTCACAAGGCTAATAGCTGAAGTTAAGACCAGTTCTTACAAGACATAGCAGGCTTACTCACAGGAAATGCATTAGTTAAGGCCTGAAAACACAGGAAAACCTCATCCAGAAGTGATGAGACACTCTCAACTCCATTTTTTGAGTTTTGAGCTTCAGATATTATATCTTGGACTTCCTTCAAGAGCTCAATCATGGAGTCAATTTCCCACTGCTAATAACAAGACTCAAAGTTAATTTCATATGCTTGGAAATAAGAACATTTATGCATGAAAGAAAATGTAAAAAATGGCAAACACAACAAAGAATAAATGTAATTAAGATCAGCCAAAGTAAAAATGAAGAATAAATTAACAAAATTAAGGTACAGACATCGAAAAATCCATTTGAAGCAAGTTGTTCATGAGCCACCCTTGCCTCCTCCTGTGCGTTGAGAAGCTCTTCACGGAGCTGCCGAAATATGTACAGGTTCAAAAACCATAATTAACACAAGATAAGAAAATATATCACAGAAGAATAAAAGTATAAAACTTTCACAGCTACAAAATCCTTTTACTCATTAATATATATATATATATATATATACCAAATCCATCACTAGATTCACCATGAGGAAGTTTATAAGAGAATTAAGGCCTAACAAAGCCTAAGGAATGATTAAAAGTTTATAGATGCCTTTATAGGGATTGTATCCAGTATGAGGATAAAATACTTGAATCTTGCATGTATTTTCGAATTTGAAAGCAAGACTCTAGCATAGAGATCCTGAACTTGAAGCCTTACAACAAATATGATTCTTTAATGATAAATTTACATTCCAAACATTTTCAACAAGCTCTTTTCTTTTCCTTTATCCCCAAGCTTTCTGGTACTTGGGAAGAGGGATTGCTTAAATATACAGAATTACAAATGACTTCATCACCCACTGCAATTAGATTCTATTTACTTAAGTCTGGCAAAGTTCAGTAGATGATAATCCTTGAAGCATAACTGATGAAGCAAATCATAGATTACTAGCAAGTAACAATATGAGACACTACAACAAGTGCATGCATAATTGACTTTAACCATGATTACCTCTCCAAACTTCTCCATTGCACTCGTATTATTTTCTTCAGCAAGTTTAACAATACTATTCAGATTTTGTTGGCTTGAAGACTTCTCCATTTCCAATATCTTAATCTGCTAGTTGAAGACAAACAAAATGCAAACCACAAACAGTAAAAATTTGTTAAAAAATGTTAATGCAAAGATAATTATTGCAGTAATGAACAATATACAGAAAAATAAGTAAAGGAATTTTTAATTAAAAACAAAAGGATAAAACAAACCTTCTCGTGAAGTTGCTTGATCACAATAATAGCTTCTGATTCCTGTAAACTTATATCCTTGCCCAAATAACTATCAATTTTGTTGTAATTAAATGCAGTATAATCATCACATTTAATACCATGAGACAAATCATTCTCAGCTAGCTTTCTTGTCAAGCAATCAATTTGTATATCACTCATGGTTTTCTGCACATGAAAAAGGCATCACTAAATGACACATTAATTACTAATGTCTTGCAGCAGTAGAAGAATTGAACCAATAAGAATAGTAACCTGAGTTTCAAATTTTAAAAGCAAATCCTCATATTCTGCTTGCATTTCCACTATATCATTCTCCTCCTGGATGATGGATATATGTATTAGAATACCAAAAATACAATTATACACAACATGTACAACCGTAGAAGGAAAAGGCATAGTACAAACCACAAAAGAGCCTTTCTTCCTTAAAGGCACTTTTCTCCTATTTGTCACATGCAGTAAGGCACATGGATCAGGAAGGATACAAGCATTGGAGACATCTTCCTTGTACTCTTTGTCTTGTTTGCAGGAGTCAGCTGCAACTTCAGTTTCATTCACCAACTCTTCAAAAGGAAGAAGCAGTCCCATATCATGCTCAGATCTGGTTGCCTTTATGGCTGAGTACTTTGAATGGACACTTGGGTGGGCCTAATGTGCGTGAGAAGCATGTTAACATGCATCAAAGAAAATTGAACTCTAAAAACATTTAGAATTACTACAGATAAATATCAGGTAACAGGAGCATGAGTACTTCATACAAACTTTGTATCTCATCTATAAATGGTAGACCTATGCAGGATAAGCGTGAACGAAACATAAAAGATTTTATTAGAAATAGCCTGTTTGGTTTGGCCAGATTCAGTATTATAAAGCCAAAAACCCTTTACATGTTCAGCTAATATAAGCAAAAGCTATGGTTACTTGAGTAAAGGTTTCAACAAGGTTTACACTTTCCCCATGGTCAGGAATGTAAAAACCATTGATCCAAGGCTACAACATCTCAGTTGCCTCGAAATTTACTTTCCTCTATGTAACACAATGAGTACCACAAGATTGTCAATGCTACCAAGACTATCTCACCTTGCTTATCATTCTTCAACAGTTGACTACACCAACTCACCTATTTGTCCCTTTGATATGTGTTTGTTTGCTTCAGTTAATTATTAACCCTTTAATCATGCTCTTAGATTATCCTCATAAATTTCAAATGAAACAGCTTCTAAGAGCATATATCCTTAAGATCTTAAACAATAGGCCACATCTTCAATGTCACTAGGCTGCTAAACTCTAGTTGTATATAAGTCCAACCTTGCAGTCCGTTGAACTACCATACTCAGCCAACACTGCTTGCACTTAAGTTTTTGATGAAGCCAAAATATAAGCTCATGAAAATTGGCACATAATTCATATTTACAAAAAAAAATTAAAAATTTTATAAAAACAATTCATATTACATAGAGATGCTAAATCTATTTAGCTTATCAACAAGAAGCATCTACAAATAGGGTTTGGCACTCCAAAAATTTAAAATAAAAAACAAAATAAATAAATAAATAAATAAAACACACACACACACACACTTAAAAACTGGAGCGCCCTTCCATTACTTTTTAAGTAATAGAGGCTGCCATGGAATTCTGAACTTTCAATGCCCTATTTCCCATCATAAAATAGAATACCATGTCTTGTAAACTACCATCCTCCTTACCCCGTGCTATTGCCATTCCTAAGAATCTTTAATTTATTTAGCCCCAGCCCCACCCCCTCCTTACAGAACCGTAACAGAAAGGACGAATGATTGCATTAGAGTTCTATGAATGACATAATAGTTATTAAATAGCTTACCATGTGTTGGGAAGACTTACCTCTCTAAGAGTCTCCCTTGCCAACTTGCCTGGGCACCATGTGTCCCGCCTCTTCTCCTGAAGCAGCAAACCATGGACTACATCAATATTTAGATTGTGAACAAGAAAATGGCACATAATAAAAGATTAGACAATTTAACATTTGACAAAGCTGGCATACTTTTTAAGCAGAACCATGCATAAAAAATGCTGGAGCAAGAGACTTCAGCTTGAGGGAAATATGTGGCAGTTCTAGATATGATTCACATATCTTTCACTTTTGTAATGAAGATCAAAGATCTATAACATTGACAAAACAGCATGCAGGAAATCCTTTAAATAACACTCATTTCTGAAAGATTATGGCACAATGCACAATCAAGTTGTGATCAATATGCAATTTAAGCAGCAGATATGTTGATCAATTCTCTTCATAGGCACAACCACAAGATCCTTAGATTAGAAACACCATGCAGAAAGTGAAGTCTACACTTACTCATAATAACAGGCAAATCCACGTAGATTTAATTTTACGAAACATGGAGTTAAGAAATTTCAGAGGAAACTTTGAATTTTTGAAGAATGTGAAGATATGCAAATATCTTTACAAACAACAGGGATGGGGTACCATAATGTGTCAAATGACCGTGTCTTGCTGACTAGTTATCATGTTATTGTGAGTTTTGAAGATAAAAAATGGATAAAGTAAGCTTGCCGTGCTAATCCATTTAAATTAGCTATTGGGAGAAAGAGAATCTTCTTCTGTTTTCTATAGTGTGGATCACGGTGGAAGATTGTTGAACTTGGCACCTCTGATTTGGAGGGTGTGGCTACCAATAAGTTATTCATCTTTCTTAGGAATCAGAATTTGGAAATAAATCATTGTGCATGTTTTAAGCACAAAATGATACAAAAGGAACTAGAGAGCAAGAGACAAGCTAATCCTTGAAACTTAACAGCACTTTCAGTAGGCAAGAGAAGTATCAGCTGCACATCTAGGGTCAACAAACCATTTAAGTTCTGTACACTTTAGCAGTGAGCTTAGACTCTTAAGATTATTGAATACTCAGAGACAACCAGGTGTTAGTGTTTACAAACATGAGAGAAATAGGCATAGGCACAGGTATTAAGTTATTTTTTGGATTAATTACAGAAACATCTTTAAAATCTTAAATTTTTACCAAGGTTGTTAAAGAAACTATACCGTCCTTAAACATTCAATTAGAATGCAATAGGGGGGATTCAACATCATACTATACCATAATCTGTTTTGAAATATACTGTTACAGTCACTTAGTTCATTATTGGTGATTCTCACCTGATAATGGAAGTTCTAAGTCAGTTTATGTGCTTATTGAACTTCGAAAGGACTAAGAAGGGAAGGGATAAATTATAGAGGAAGTAAACTATCATTTATCTTAAAAGTATTTGCAGAAGGAAAATGGCAAGGAAACCATATTGCTTGGACTGGAAATGTCCTCATCCATAGATTAGATTTTACAATGTACCCATAGAATCAAGACAAGCATCCATATACCATCATATGCAGAGCACCGCAACTCAGGGAGCAATGCATCAGTCTAGGCCACTCTATATGAAACAAAAGTTGATTACAGGTAGAAGAATATTAGGGTTTGGAATTTATCATTAAAAAAAAAAAAAAGAAGAGAAAAGAAAATCAATCTGATTTTACTCTAGATATTCAAATCTTGAACGGATTCTTTTGGTATTTTAAAAACCCTAGCCAAGAGATCCATTTAAAGGTCCTTCACACCAAAAGCTAGTTTAAGGGATTTATCAGCTAAATATTGAACATGTTATATAATATTTATAGACAGTATAAACTGAAAATATATCCCTTTTTCTTAACAAGTTACAAGGATAAAAGAGATGTTTATAGGCAAAGCAAATATATTTGCAATAGAAAAGGTTAGAAGTTGTTTCAAACATACCTTTCTAAAATTACCTTGACTCTCATCCCTGTTTGAGCACAAGACCATGGAACTTAAATTCTTTATTTTTTTTGCTTGTTCTTGCAACACTCTCTCACGCTCAACTTGAGCTTTCTTTTCCTCCTCCAACTCCAATGTTATCCGCTCTCTTTCCAATTCAGACTGTCAAAGAGTTTTACAACTTTTAAGATATGCTTGGATACTCTAAAAGAATAAAATCAAAAACATTATACCTTTAATAAGGTGTTCCGCAAATTAAGGATCTCTTCTTCCAAGTGCTCTGAATGAGAACCCTTAAACAATAACAATATAGTTAACAATGCATTACTTCCTCCAGAACCAATCTGATATTTCCCAAACAAATATACCTACCTGCAATTTGGCTCGAAGTTCCTCAATCTCTTTCTTTTGACGCTTCAATAAAGCCGCATCAGTCAAAATCTGGCATGAACAGACAAGATAGATTAAAATCTGAGCAAATAGAACATAAAAACAACATGCACTGAAGTTTCCAAATTTGTGGTATGTGCCAAGTGGAAATGGATTCTGGAAATATATCCAACTGCAGAGCTAGGAATATAATTTTAATGAGGAAAAGTAACCTTAGAGCTAAAACCATGTGATGTAAAATAGTAAATTTCTGGATGGTTAATATTTTCTTATATCTTTTATATATTAGAGAAAAAGAAGTATTATGAATAATAAGTGAAAAGGACTTATGTGGATTACCAGCATTGCTTATCTGACTGACAAATATCATCAAAATAATAAGATACATCATTTTTAACAAACATTCTCTCATTTTTTAGATGTATTTTATTAACAATGATCTTAAGTTTTTTTATTAAAGTTCTTTGACTTACAAAACCTAAAATTTCAAAGGGGGCAGCTCCACCATTGCTGCCTCCCAAGGGCATACCCATCAACTCAACAGTAAAAATAGATGAAATAAGAAAAGATCTGAGCAGAAAGTGAAAGAAAGATCTAGCCAAACCTCATTCACATGAGCACAGTTTGTAACACGTAATGCTCTGCTGGCAAATTGAAGACTGCTTTTTGTCTCATCTGCATGAATCTAAAATTAAATAAAACTGCTCAATAATTGGAAGTGCAAGCAATCAAACCAACAATCACATGATCAGATCATGCAGACTTAAAAGTACTTAGACCAAACAGATGAGCAAGTGGGGCTGGTGCAGATAATGAATTCTGTTTTAGCAAACTAAAATCTTCAATAAAATGAAAATCCTTTCAACTAGAACCAAGCAGCATTCCAAATGCACATGAAGAATCTTGCCATAGAGGCTGAACTTGATCATTTGAACTAAATAAGACCTGATATTCCCAAAACTAACTATTTGCAACCTTAGGGTTGAAAGAATAGGTAATTCATTAACTATTCTTTCCTAGAAAAATATTAAAATATAGATGTACCATTTAAATTTTAGACACTATTTAAATTAGTTACTACAATTAAAGTGGACATTTAATGATGCCAGCGTAGTAAAACTTCAATGTCTTCATATATTATACCTGTGCAAGTGTTATATTGCATATTATCGCTGTGTTGGAATTTCCCCCCAGAGCAGGTTGCAAAATGCGAGTAAGTTTGCTATCTCGATATGGAACATGACCCCTGAATCAATATGCTATTCAAGAAATTACAACACAAAAAGAATGATATTCAAGAATTATTTTCAAACAAGAAAACCTACCCTTGACTTTCAGCACCTTCACTCAATTTTTTTATCACGGTTCCTAGGGTCATCAAACTTTTATTAATGTGGGATCCCTCTTTAAGCCGAAGACCTTCTGCACCAGTTTTACCAGCACGCTCGGAACCAGCAAGATCCACTAAGTTCTAGTAAACAGAAAAGAAATTAAAGAAAAATAAGGAAACAGAGTCAATAGAAAACTATACAAGATAACTCCCTAATAATTGCAATCAAGATTTTAAGATTATGAATATAAACAATGCAGGGTAAGGAGTGATAATTGACATCACCACATACCAAAACTGATACCCGAACAGCATCACAATTGTCACCGTCTCCATTTTCATTTCTATCCCGGCTCTCAATTATCTAAAAAACTAAGACATTAGAAAGATAATCGAATATATACACAAACAAGAGAAGGAAGCATAGTTTACCATGCGGAATATGGTATGGGACCTACTGCTGTGCAGATTCATGTTTGTCTCTCCAATATGCCTATGAGCTGAATTTCAAGGAAAAATTCAGGCAATATATATCTAGTATATAGAAAAGCAAGAAAGAGGCAAGAGATTGACTAACACAACAAAAGAAGAGGAAACAGAGAATTGTCTCAAAAAAGAGAAATCAAAAGTAAGTCATTAATATCTCTTTCTTGTCCTTATTCTTCCCTCTCTTTTTTCTTTTGCTGCTTCATGATAACTACTAAAACTTTGGATCCTGTTTTAATTTTGTTCTATGTGCAAAAGGAAAACATACTCCAGAATATACAAGAATGGGCAAGGCATCATAGGCATGGGCACGACTTGCAAAACTGAATAAGTTTTGGTCCCAAAAAATTCTTAGAAAAGAAGTAAAAGAAAGTACATTCTCCAAACTCCATAAGATCAAGGACTTGCTGTGGAGAGGCAACAATTTCTTCTCGTAAACCAGCAACATATATCCCCCGCTATAATGAAGAGAAAATGAAAAAATTTTCAGTTAAAATTCTCAAACTAAAAGTAAGTGAGATAGGAACAAACGGAAATATTAGTACCTCTAGACTTTCATGAATCTGCAATTTTCGGTGCTCAGGAACTAAAAGATCATTTATTTCCTCATTGTAGATCTCCATATAGGACATCCGCAAAAGAAACTCTCTCTCAACATCCTGGAAAACAATAGAAAAAAAAAAGGAAAATGTACTTACAGATACAGATCAACAAATTCTGGGGGAAAAAATTTTAATCCCAAGGTTAACATGGGTGAGATACCATACATCCATGATCACATTTTCAAGACAGATCTGTAAGAAATTTAACCAATAAACTATTTCTAGATCATGTAAGCTAAAACTTTCACTGAAGTCTGAACTTTTTATGCTATTTGAACTGTTACTAATTCATCTGAAATTATCTAGTTTTAATCCAATGTCAACATGAACAAGACAGAATTAAAGGAAAAAAATGGTCTGGCTGAAGTTAATTGTATCAGTTTCATTTATTCTTCTCTATATGAAACCAAAACTCCCTGGAGATAAATTTTTCTGTGTATGAAGCAGAAACTTATTATTTTTTATTTATTGCATTAGTTCAGCATTGCCTAAACCAGAACTAATTTTTTTTTTCAAAGGATCATGTTTATGTGTACATATTTTTCATGTAATAACCAGAATATTATGAATCTAAAAGCAAGTCCTCACCTAGGCATTGCCTTCAACATACCATACCTCAAGAAATTCCATCACTAAAGCACCATCTCATTCTTAGTACACTAATAATATCATTTTACATGTTTTTTTACTTTTTGTTTGAATGCTTCCCAACTGTCCGGTAGTCACTCAAAGCTCACTCACATATTTGCAGTTGGCAGAAGATGTGAATCCCCACTAATTGCACATGAATAGGATTAATATCTAACTGATATCATGGCACTAAACATCTTTTACCTCAAATTAAGAAATTAGCTCCGGAAAATTAAACCAGATTACATACAATTTTTATACAAATGATAGCCCAAAACACTCTTTTCATAAGAGGACTTTCCACTACATTGACTTATTGGAAAAGAACAGAAAGTGACTACTGATTACCATCCAAATACACAGCTATCCTTTCCTTTACAGGATATAAGTATATTTTTGAATTTATAGCTAAAGTGTCATTTTTAGTGTGCATGCTTCTTTCTACAGAAAAGCTACATCGATTTGGCATCTAAGAAAGTGTTGGCATAACTACCTGTTGTATAATGTCAAACAAATCATGAACAGCAAGTGGAATAACACCAGGTTCATTGGATGAGCCTCGCATTGTATATGTCTTTCCACTATTTGTTTGTCCATAAGCAAAAACAGTTCCTATAGAAAATAAACATCAATTTTTTTAGAAATAAAGTGAGAACATAACCTACAAGGAATTTCATAGAATTTATAAATACCAAAAATGTACAATTCATGAGATACCTGGAAAAAAAAATGCAATACAGAATTCTGAACACTAATTACTTAAATTAAGAGAGTAGACTCCCCTTTTAATCTCCGAACACATATTTGACCAAAGAAGGGAAGAAGAAAAAACACAAAATTTCACATAAATTCTGAGAAAACAAATGGCTGAGCCACATACAAAAATTTCACAGAATTGCTGAAAAAATAAATGGTTGACCTGCACACTAGTGCGAGAGAGTACAGTGGAATGCCAACCAGTCAAGTACAGTCCTAACTCCTAACTTTGAAACCATTTATCTAGACATTTCGTTAGTAGACTCTCAACCCTTTTCCTGAACAAGTGGTGCTCAAGAACTTAGCAGTCACAATTGATCAACAAAATTGGTAGCAACAATTCAACTACTCAAGGGCAGTAACTGCAAGATAAGCTGTTTGCGAGCAAGTTGACTATGAGGACATTGATAACACTGCATGTAAGGTGAGAGACTATGGCACAATTCCAAATCAAATTGTAAAGTAAGGAACTTAAATGTTTCTAACTCAATCTTTCAGTTATTTCACTCTAAAAGTAAATGAACACGTACATGCACACCACAGGCAAAAATTATTTCAAAGAAACATACTTTAAGCCAAAACAATGAAAATAATTACAACCCAGCTCATTCCGAAGGAAAACGAAAACAACCCACGCTGGGCATACCGTTAAACCCACGAACTGCAGCAGCAACGATTTCTTTAGTACGAGCTTGGTAAACCTCTGCAGTCTTGCACCCTTCTCCAAATACTCTATCTGAAAACCGAAAAAGCTCAAAATCAGACGAAGAAACAAAATTATGAAAAGCATTGAAATTGATGAGAAAGTACCAAATTCAAAAGAGTGGTTAGAGGTGACAACGGAGTTTCCATTGATTCTCCACGGACTGGACTTGGCGTCCTCCGGCGATAGGGGCCGCGCTCGTACGGTGACGTGAATTCTCTCCATTTCTCAGATTCCCAAATCCCCAACTTCAGAAGGGATTAAGGAGAGTGTTATTTCCCACCCGAATCGCAAAAAATACCCTATGTTCTACTTTGGATTTTCCCGCCCTTGGGTCTTTAGTTGAGGTTCGAATTACAAGGAAGTCCTTAAGGCTGTGTTTGGCTGCAGCCAAGTACTGCAACCTACTCAAGAGTCAAGATTATGGTCTAGTTTTCACATTAAAAGCCTGTTTGGTTAAAGGCTAAAAGTTGGTAGATTTTTAAAAAAATTTTGAAGTTTTTTTACAATTGTTAATTTGTTCATAGTTGATAAAAATTTGATATTGAAAGGAATTGAGGAACAATATCAAAGTGAGTCTTCCATTTAAAAAGCTATAAGAAATTTATTTTTTTTTAAATGTAAAAAAAAAAAAACAAGTTAATAGAATCACAAACGAAGAAAAAAGCTAATTTAGAAATTGTATTAAAAAAATAAAAACTAAAATAATTTTAAGGGTTTGATTCATGAATAAATAAGTGTTGTCTTATAAGTAATATTTTTAAAACTAAATTAAAGATCAAATCATTTTGACATCTGATTTCTAGATTAAATGATTTAATCTATTTAAATTTTCAATTTGACATAAATATAATCTTATGCAAATTATAAACTTATAATACATTGAGGTGGTTTCAGTGGCAGAGGCCCGTGTCTGGACTTTTAACACCATTAATTCAAGTCCATTCTATAACTAAAGGGTTGGGAGGCTGACTCTCTTGGATGCCATTGAACAATTTATTTTAAATTTTTGAGAACTATTATGAAATAAATAGAAGTTCAAGGGGCTGATGCCACAAAGTAGGTCATTACTCTAATGATAAATGGAATCACATCTTTATATTAATGGGATTTTATATAGAATAAATATATTTTAAAGTACAAGAAGTTAATGAAATTATTATGTATGAATTGGTATATTTTATTCTATAACTGAAGAGTTGAGAGTTCGACTCTCCTTTATGCCATTCAACAAATTATTTTTTATTTTTAAGAACTATTATAAAATAAATAATAGCTCAAGGAGCGGATGCCACAAAGCAGGTCATTGCTCTGGTGGCAAAGGATTGAACTAAACTTCTGGAAGTTGCAAGCTGGTGACAATATTTAGACTCTTTATCTCTAAGAATTAAATTGTCTGGTCAAATGGTTTATTAGTTAATGCTTATTTAAATAGTTTTAATAATTTTAAATGGTTTAACCATCTAAATGGTTCTAAATATTCACCTAAATCGTTAAAGTCATCAAGTGTTGATTCAACTAATATGATTGTTTGATCGAGTTTAATAATCAAAACAATGTTTATCGAAAAGGTCTAGGGCTTATGTCTTGAAATCAACACCTAAGAAAATTAATTTTTTTTAAATGCATTAAACTAATGTGAGAATGCGTTTTTAAAATTGTTTGAAAAAAAATGAGTCTTAAGTTATACGAAAGTTGATTTAGGACACCTTGGATCTAAATAAATAAAGACTAATGATGCCTTTAGAATTGTAGTTTTGGGCTTTTCTTTGTAGTTATATACTACTTTTAAATATATATGTGTATTTAGTAAATTTTTTTGGATTATTTTTTCAAAATCTATAAAAAATTACAACAAATTTACAATAATTATATATATAATTAGAAACCTTATTTTGGGGTTTTTTAACTGTGCTTTTACAAATATAGATGGCAACAAATTACCTTAGGGCAAGACTCCTCTCCATCCTTGGCCCCACCATTACAAATAACATAGGTTAATTCTGTTAAGAAAACAAATAACATAGGTAATTGGTAACCAAATGAATCGTTAAGCTGTAGTAGCATTCAGTACCTAACGAACTAATTTGTCTACAGAGCATTGGGAACCTACAATTAGGAATAAATTGGTTCTCTTAGTGTAGTGAATTGAACGTTATTTACTGAAATAAATAAAGTATTAGATTTTAGTACATTGAAAATAATTTTGATTCACCAATTTTTTTTTTTTTTAAATTCAGTTTAGAACTCAGAATTGGCTTTTTCAAAATTAACCAACTTGAATAATCAAATTAATTGAACTAATGAAAGCATTCGGAATTCAATTAGTATAAAAATGAAATTCGAATAAATTCAAAATTTTTATTATAATTCGACCAATTAAATTTTAAATATTATCAAAAAAAAATTACATGTGAAATTTTTTGAATACCTTTAAATAAATTCTTCTTGCATATTAATTTATTAAGAAAATTTAATTAATTTCATAGATATTCTCACTTTCTTTTTTTTTTTAAATCAGCATGAAAATTTTCGGCCCTCCCAACAGAATAGCATTAAAATGACAAAAACAGAGACAAGAAAATATTATGAAAACGACTATGCTAGTTGCTTGAGTATTAGTACTACAATATTATCTTGACATGATGCTCAGTCTTACTACAGCCACAGCCTCACCATTCTCACACAAACCGCGGCACCCTACAAAATCACTAACAGCAAGCTAAGAGAACCCTGTACACCTCTTTCTTGTCCCTGGATTGAACCAAACTCTAAACCCGCACCCCAATCCTTTCAGCAACCTGCACCAGAAAAGGAGATGATGTCAAAAGATCATGGATGATGAACTGATAAACAAGAAACGATTTCATTAGCCAGCTAAGTTATTGACCAGCAGCAGCAACAGCTAGCAGATACAAACATACAAGAAAAATAGCATATGTATCATGTATGGCATACTTGGATACTCTCAAAATGTCAATTGGCTATCCTAAAGGTTGTATGGTAACCTTACAGCCCAAATGCTTGAAGCTAGATTAGATTTGAGGCATTATCCAACAAGTTAAACAGAATAATTCACCATTCATTCGAAATTTTTAACTGACCAAAATTGTCAGGCAATCTTAGGACACCATGATTATGCAATGTTGGAAAGATTTAATCATGAGTTTACCAACTTCATAACCATGTTCCCTAAGCAAGCTGAGATATTAGCAGTATAGATTTAGAGATTACATCTAACCTCCAGCATCTTCTCTGGTCAGAAATTTAGCAACTTCCTTTGCTCAAGTATATTTTCATCCATGCTCAGTGTCTTGAAAATATTCCTTATAATTAGATTTACAACATACCTCTTTAAAAGAGTAAACATCACTTCCCCACAGCCAAGCATCACAACCTGCATCTCTCGCTCCCCATATATCATTTCTACGGTCATCCCCTATATGTACAACATCTTCAGGTTTAACACCCAACAACTCACAAGCTTTCAGAAATATTGTTGGATTTGGCTTCTCTGCTTCAACCTGGGATATAAAAGAAGAAAACATTCATCATGTTATTTTCTTTACATAGGGACAATCAATTGGGTTGATTAACAAAATTGCCAAGATAAAGGCATATACAGAGGCTTCAGATGTCCCATATGATTGCATTTTGAAAAATTCCAAACAGCAATTACAATAGCGTTGGATGCTACTTATGAGACTAGTAAGTACCAATAACAACTTCATTTTGACTCCTACAGACTCAATTAAAAATGGTTATCTAAATCAATCAGTTGCACTTTACAAATAAAAAATAAATAAATAAATAATAACAACCTCTGCAAAGTTAATTATTTGTGGGATCAATAGATTCTAAAGTTCACATTGAATGTAGACATTGAGTAAGCATCTTGATTACGCAAGCATGTGTGTGCACTCATGCACGTGTATCAGCGTGCACGTGTGTTCGTTGTGTGTGAGAGAGAGAGAGAGATTTAACTTACTTCAGCAGACACAGCCACGGCATCAAACCAATGCTCACAATTTAGAGCACGTAAGACAGGTCTTAGTCGTGTGTCAAAATTTGAAACAACAGCCACTTTCACTCCTGCTCTTCTAAGAGCCTTAAAAACTTTTTCAGCCTCCGGATCACAGAGGTGCCATGCCTTTAAAAAGCGATGGTTAACTCATCATAAACACAATAATAGATACTTAGAACACAAATAAAAATAGACACTAAATACTGAGTATCTTACCTTGTTGGTGGTATAGTAGTTATAGAGTTCCTCAAAGTACTGAGAATCTGAGCAACCAGTGGAAGAACTAACTATATACTGCCAGAAAGGTCTTCCATCATTTACGTATCTGCAATAAATTACAACCGACAAATCAAAAATAAAACAAAGCCCTACCAATTATAACATCACAATTGGGAAACTTTGATTCTTTTAAATTTATTTCATTCCATATTATTCCCTGTCAACCTTTTAAAGAATCAAAAGGTTATTCCATTCTATATTTTTCCCAGTTAACTTGTTTAGGAACCAAAGGGTTATCTATTCCATATTATTTGTGATCAACTTGTTAAGAAAATTAAGGGTTGAGATAGGTATTGAAGACTCATGCTTCAAGTACACCAAGGTGGTGTACCATGAAAACAAAAGCATGCAGTTGGAAAGTGTTTTTTTTCCAAGGTTGAAACAACTTGGAAGAATTGGAATCACTGGACCATATCTACAAAGCCAGAAAACTAGAAAGATACAAAACAAAGAAAAGAAAAGCAAAAAAAAAAAAAGGATTTAAATGACTGTGAGCAATTAAGCAAAACCAATTTCCAAGTAAGGCAGCAAATAATGAAAAGGAAGTGACAAGAGTGAATAAAAGAAAACTGAAGAGACCTGAGACGAGATTTGCCCCAAGGCTGCTCGTAAGCCCTTCTGTATTTGTTCAATATCTCCGCCTCTGAGTACTCCACTCCATACTTCTCACCTATCTGTCTATAAATCTTCATCCAGGAAAAAAAGAATAATGAAAAAAAACAATCCCATACAACATTCAGAGAAATTTAACACCCACGGAACCAAGAACAACACTAATGCATAAAGAAATTTCTAAGACAAAGCTGTAAACCTTAAAAATTAAGGCACTCCATAAAACCTTAGCATGTCAGACCATACATACAATATACAGTAACCTTATCGTTTCAGTCCAGACCCTACATATAATAAACAGACTACAAACACTTTGACACCCACAAGGCCATAACCCATTAATCTGTCTTCGTCTAAAAACAGGGATAATCCTGCATTAGACCCATAACGCAGCAGAGATCAAACAGACATCACCACCCAGGAATTCAAAAGAAACAATGAACCACAACATAAATCAAACAGCAGATACAGAACCCAAAAACTCAAAAAGATGCAGCATGCAGAAACAACCCATATATATTCTCACAAAACACAGACAAACATGAACAAACAGACGGCATGTATGTATCCAATGTAATGAGAGTCATAGAAGAAAGAAGGACCTGAGCCATGGGTTGAGAGGGAACAACAAGGGTACCGACGGCATCAACAAGCACAGCCTTGTGTGTGATCTCTCCATAGAGTGACCTCCGGTAATCCTCATACTCCTTCACTCCGAGTATCTCGAATCCTCTGTGCTCCGCCGGAGCTGTCCCTGTCACTGCGGTGGAGAAAGGAGATGAAGAAGAGGAGACGCGGTACAATGGGATCGACAGGATCCGGTCATTGCAGTAACTGGTGCCAGATCTCGAAGCTCTGGCCAGCAGCCTCCAGAGCTTGGTCCTTGCTGTGGTCGCCATTAGTGCCATTTTTGGAGTTTAATGAATTTCCTTCTTTCCTTTTTTCTTCTGCTTTCGGTCTACCCATTTTGCCTGGTAATGGCAGTTAAATGCCGCGGGAATTTGTAAATATTACCACTCTACCCTGTTCTCGCACCACATATTTTTATAGGAGAAAATTACTTTAAAAAAATTATACAATTTACACTGTACAACTTAAATCTTAAATTAAAACAAGTCCTTATAGCAAGAGTGGTATTGTATTTCATGCTTCCTATTTTGCAATTCAAAGCACAAGAAGGGACTTATATTTATTTCTTTTTAATGAAAAGTTAAAATAATAAATTCTAATATACATTACTCATATTTATGAGCATAATTCAACTATTAAATTAAAAATTAATGAATGCAACTAGTAACGTTTAGAAAATCTAATGTAATCAATCTACATCGTTAACTTGTGATACATAAAAAAAAAAAATGTAAATAAAATTGAATAATACAATATTTATTTTGATTAGTGCTATATACACTTGACTAATCATATATTAATACTACTAATTTAACATTCTCTAGCACAATACAAGTGTTTCTTTTACATATATTCAATCATTATACTTAAAGTCTTAAAATCTTAGGCATTATATATATATATCATCAATATAAGAAAAATTTTAACCACAAGCTTATGTACTCATTTTTCTAAAAATTGTTCCTATTTCCCTAGAAAGTTGTGGGTTGTGGCAATTTTATAGTTTTTTTTTATTCTGAGATCATTTTTGTTAATTTGCAATATTTCTTTTCCCTTTTACTCTAAAATTTTTCTTTTTCTTTAAAGGTTGTTAAATGGTATATTGATAATGCACAACAAGCGAAAAAAAAAAAAAAGGATCTACTAATTAACGAAATTAAGAAAAGAGTGTAGAAAAGCCATTTTTCCAACTAAAAAAGCCTTCCTTCATGGATTAAATCATCTTATAGATAAGTTGCAAAAAGCTTATAATGATAATAATAATAAACTTAACAACTTATTTAAACATACAAATTTTAGCTTATAATAATTTGAAAAGTTAAAAAATTAAAAATAAAACAACTAAAATTAAACGAGTAAAATATATTTTTTTACTTTTAAGTTTTTAATAAATATTTTTTAAAACAAAATATATTGCAAACACCTTATGGAACCAGAGAGCGGGAGCAAAATGCTAGTAGCATAATAAAAGAAGAAAAACTATCAATTATGTAATTAAATCATAAGATTATATATATTTTTAGTCATATTTTTAAAATTTAATTTCTATTCTTTACATATAAAAATAGAACAAGAAATGGTAAATATGTAAATATGTTGCAAAAGAAGTGCAATTCTCAACGAGCTCGGCCAAGAGCAAAATGTAAGGTAAAAGGATAACGGAAACGAACTGAGATGATTACGTGGCAGACAACGAAAGATAGCTAGATTCCACGTCACCAAATTCCAAAACCCGAGGCATTGGATATAACGTACTAGTGGGTCCCACCCGGACAGTCCCTCGCCACATACACTGGTCTTCTCCCCCTCAATCGGGGAACACGTGGCGATTTCTCTGCAGCTGGAGAAAAATAAAAATAAATAAAATAACCAATAATAATTGAGTGGTCTATATTTTTCATTATTTTTCAGTTATTTATTTTTAATTTAAAATAATAATAAAAAATATTCGATGACCACAACCAGAAGAATACGCGGAGAATAACGGGCAGAAAGGGACAGTGATAGGGAAGAAAACCTTTTTTACAATTTTTTTTATATATTATTCATATATTATTAAATGAATTAATATATTTAATATTATAAATTTTTAAATAAATTTAAAAAATTAATAATTTAAATAATACATAAAATCACATTTAAAAATCATATAAAAATTATTTTTGTATTATTTTTTAGCTAAAAATTTACTTGTAACAAGACAAAATTAGACTAACAATTTTTCACTTTTTAGGTTATTTCAAATTTAAAAACTTGAAACTTTAAATTAGATATTTTGATTTTATATTTTGAAATAGATAAAAACAAATAAAAAGAAAAAAAATTATTTTTTATTATATAATTTATTATTTAATATAATAACAATTCTTTTTTTTTTAATATTATGAATTGTTTGGTGTAAATGCTTGGAGTTACAAGCAGTTTGGATTAATGAAATAAATAAAAATATTTGATTTATAGAAAAATAAAAGACTATTAGGTAATTTAAATCATTAGAGGCAAACTTTCGAGCAGTGAGGGTAAAATTATCAATTGTTTTGAGAGTGAGAAAAAAGTTAAAAAAAATAAAAGAATTATCTCCAAAACTATTAATTACTAATAATAACTATATAATTTTTATTTTATTTTAAATAGCTAATCCAAATACTTTTCTACGTGATTATAGGTGATTATATTAAGAGATTGGGACTCAAAATATTCATAGGAATATGACCTTTTCCACTAACCGGTTGGGATTGAGTAACTAAGGAATGTGTGTAGTCAATAATTTAAATAATTTAGTGATTATCTTTTTTTATTAAAAGTAAAAATTTTTGAGTTCAAATCGAATAGTATGTGAGTAAAATGAAATAATGAATGAGAAATAATTGTTTTACATTATACAACCAAGATAAAAAAAAAAAAAAAGAAGAAGAAGAAGAAGAATGTATGTAACCTGCTTCACCAGTATTTAAGAAACCACCACTTTCTACAACGAAACGAATCTTGAGACATCGCGTTGCCACCAAAAAATCTTTTCCGTTCATTGAGAACAAGGTTCCCTTGGGTTACCAAAACATAGAATACATATTTGGTTGGAAAAAACTAAATGAATTGAATATAGAAATCAATAGTCTCTATGTTGATCATGCAATGATTTAGGAGTTCAACATCTGCATTTTATCAAGGTTGTCAGTCTCTTTCATGCTGCTTTGAAGCCCTCTGCCAGAACTTGTTAGTACTGCTTTTACTATTTCCAAGTAGCCAAGAGATACAAATAATTCTAATTAATAAAATCTGCTTTTTACAATTTGATTAATGGTTATTAAAATTTAAAATCTAAAATTTTAGTTAACTAATAATTCAGTTTTGATTACAACTAAAATTGAATGTGCCCACCCCTAACTTATTGTAGCAAAAAATCATGGGATACCACCTTTCGTACTAGAGATGCAAAAGAAAACAAGGGAAAAAACAAGAATCTCATTTCATGGACTGACCTTGATGCGAATGAAATTAGCTCCCGCCTCATTAGCAACAGCCTTTGCAATCAATGTTTTGGCACAACCTTGAGGCTCGTAAAGCAGAAACCTTATCCCCATACTCACTCCAAATTCCTAAAAGCATGAATTAGGACTTAAAAATATATTGCACAGCACACACCTGACACATATGAGTGTTAAAAAAAAGAACCACGATTGGTGCACACCCGGATTCAACACCTGGGTGTGCACACTCCACATAAAAAAAAAAAATGAGCCGGGTGTTCTCCATTTTTTTTTTTATGCGGAGTGTGCACACTCGGGTGTTAAATCCGGGTGTGCACACATCATTTTCCTAAAAAAAAAGACCACTTATCTAGTTACTGCATAATCCTCTAAAAATGTTATAGGCCTAAGTATATCGCGTTCAAACTCCAGCCCAAAGAAATCAAGTCCGCCAACATCTTCCCACTTAACATTAGGAATCTTCTTGAATCTTTTCACTACTAAAATCCCTTTTTTTTAGCAATATAGAAGCATGTTGCTAAAAGTGCTTCCCATGTTGCTAAAAATCCTTTAGCAATATAATTCTTGTTGCTAAAAGTTTTGTTGGAAAAATTTTGGTGGGTGATACATTACCAACAAACATTTTGTTGCTAATTCATGATGCATTTTCAACAACGTAAGGCACATATTTTCAACAACGTAAGTCACATTGCTGAAAATCTAGTTTTAGCAACATACTTTATGTTGGTAAAAATATTGACCGGAATCCAGTAGAGGATTTTAGTGACTTTTTTCATCATTTTCAACAACATAAGCCACGTTGCTAAAAATATAGTTTCACCAACATAAGTCACATTGCTAAAAATATAGCTTCACCAGCGTGACTCATATTGCTAAAAATTAGTGGTAAACTGGTGAAAATAATAGCTAGAATCCGACACCCCATTTTCAGCAATATAAGCCACATTACTGAAATCATATTTTCAATAACATGGCTTGTGTTGGTAAAAGTCAAGGGGGAGTTTGTTCTTCCACTTTTCAGCAATATATACATTGTTGCTGATTACTTCTAAATGGTATAGCCTAGTTTACCAACATAACCCTTGTTGCTGATAGTATCCATAATAGTACAACAACTTATTATCAACAACATAGTTTTTCTTGCTGATAGTAAGTCTATTTTCAGTAACATATGTTCTGTTATTGATTATTTCTAAATAGTACAGCTTATTTTACCAACATAACCCTTATTGCTGATAATATCCACAATAGTACAATAACCTATTATTAGCAACATAGTTTTTCTTGCTGATAATAAGCTATTTTCAGCAACATAATCCTTGTTGTTGATGTTTATTCAAATAGTACCATTGGCCCATTGGCATTTTCAGCAACATATCCTTTGTTAGTGATGTATCTGATAAAAAAATTTAACCTACCAGTATTCTGAACACATTCTTTATTTTATTTTATTTTTTGAACAATTTTGCAAGGGGCGGGATTTGAATCGTTGCCCTGGAGGAGGGGGGATGCACTTAAACGTGACTTGATGCCACTAAGCCCGAAGGCCCAAGTGCGAACACGTTCTTTATTTTCAATTATATGATAATAAATATATTACATTAATTTTATATTATAATTATTAAATTTAATAATATTACAGTATTTAAATGTGAAATTCACTTTTTTTCATAATCACTAAATATTAAATCTCTTGATATCTCACATATGATATAATTAATTATACATACAAAAAATAATTATGACTAATTAATAAATATTTATTAGCTAGATACCATTTATAAATTTTAGCTTAATAAATTTAACTTAAATAACTCAAGTCAATTAATGTATGATTAGGTATCTTACCAAACTTGAATTTTATATTTTATTAAGAATTACCTACAAAACAAACAAAATAACAAATTGTTAATTAGTGTATATATATAATTATTTATAAATATGAACTTTCAAATAAATTGATACCTACTTAATAATGTAATATTTACAAAAATATTTCATACAATATGCTTAAAGGGAATTGAAATAATTGATGGAATTTATTTAATTATTGATATATATGGAATTTATTCAATTATTGATATATATATATGTATAAGAATTTAATGATAACAAAGAACAATTAAAATTAATTAACATATTAATTAGAGAATGAATAAAAATGGGTGATAGATATGGAGGACGTGTGCTATAAGAAAAGAAAAGAAAAGACGAAGAAAAAAAAGAGAGGCTAATAGATGTGGCGGAGAGGTGGAGGGTTATGGTGCAGAGGCAAGAATGAGATGGGAGGAGAATTGAAGAAGACACATGCAGATGGCTCAACATGGGTTAGGAGTGTGGTATACATAGAACTTTTAGCAACATAAACCGTGTTGCTAAAAGTTTAGCAACTTATCACCAACATATTTTATGTTATTAAAACCTATTTGAATTTCAAGCCCCATTACTCATCATTGATGTGTATCATGTTGTTAAAACTTAAAATCACCAATTCTCCTGCCACACCTGTGAATAGTTAAAATTATTATAATTTAATTAAATCTTAATCTTACAAAAATTTATTTTTATATTTAAATTTTAATTTATTAGTTGGTTTTATTTAATTTATTAAATTTTATTTAACACCTGACACATTAATTAATATAATTACATTATTTATTAACATATTTAAATAATTTAAAACTCTATTTTGTCGAAAAAAATATGTGGACATGTATATTAGGCTACATAAACATTTCACATAAAATTATCATAATTTTTTTGCCAATATTCGTTTAAATTAAGAGTCGATTTTTTTCCACTAAGAGTTGACTTTTAATAAAGAGAGTTGATTATATCTAACACTCAGAACATTCTCAACTCTCTAGAATTTGGGAGTCAAATGTTGACCCTCTATAGTTGACTCTTGAAGGCATTAGAGTTGATTCTATCTTCTTAGATTTGACTCTTCACTACTGAAGAGTAATAGGTGACTAAAAAATTTTCAACAACATAAAGCATGTTGTTGAAGTTTGTTTTCAACAACATAGTCTTATGTTGTTGATGGTCATAGTATCAACAACATGGATCTTCTTGCTAATGTGTAGCTTTAGCAACAAGGTATATGTTGCTAAAGTTTTAGGTGATTAGAAAATTTTAGCAACATAAACCATGTTGCTGATACTTGTTTTTAGCAACATAGCTCTTGTTGCCGATTCTCATAGTATCAGCAACATGAGTCTTGTTGCTAATGCATAGTTTTAGCAACAAGGCATATGTTGCTACAGTTTTAGGTGACTGAAAATTTTCAGCAATGTAATCCACATTGCTGATCTTTGGTTTTAACAACATAAGCCTTGTTGTTGATTGTGAAGGTCACTTTTGGGGGGGGCTGTATAGCTATCAGCAACATGAATCTTGTTGGTGAAAGTTTAAATCACCAATAAAGAAACACATGTTGCTAATAAATGGTTGGTAAAAGTAGGAAATTTAGGTGTTTTTCTTTTGAATAGCAAACATTAGGAATCTTCTTGATGAAGGTTGAACCAATTTTGCTACTTTTTGCAAGTAATAAAAACATGAAAGGCAATAGGCACCATTGTGTTAAGCTAGTACACCAATATAAATATAATTGAAAACAAACAAAACTAAAATTTTGAGATAGACATTCAAATAATTTTCCTGAAACCTACATTAAGCAACACATACGAATTAGGTTGCCTAGCTATAAACAAAAAGAGAAAGTCAAATTACAAATTACCTCAAAGTTAGCCTTAATGATGGTAAACTTTTCCATTTCCTCAGGCAACCATGGTTTCCTGCACCACTCATCAGCACGTTCCTCAGCTACAATATTTGTAAAAAATCATGCTCTCTTTGGTCTATTATTCTCTCCATGGCAAGGTTACCAGCCTCATTTGCAAGGGCTTCTAAATCAGCCCCAACAAAACCTAGTGTAGCCCTAGCCATTTTGAGAAGATCAAAGGAACCTTCAAGTTTAAGATTGCGTGTAAGCAAAGAAAGGATCGCAACCCTTGCAATTTCATCAATAACTCCTAGAAAAATCTCACTATCAAACCTTCCAGGCCTTCTTAGAGCAGGGTCAACAGCATCAGGCCTATTGATAGCTCCAATTACTAAAACATAACCTGGTCTAGAATCAAAGCTCTCAAAACTTGAATCTTTATCTCTTGACTGCACAACTCTATGATATTCATCCATGCAAGTCATTAATTGTGTCACAATCCGTCTCTCCATCTCCCTCTGCAGATTTTTTTTTTGGGTTTGATGCAATTGCATTAATCTCATCAATGAATACATGATGGAGCGGTCCTATAAGCTTTTGAGAAAAGTTCACTAATATTCTCTTCTAATGCACCTGGCAAATTTTACTCATCAATTGAAAACATTCATTAGTCGGTATAACTTTGGCAGAAGTTTTCATCTCGAGTTTTTGAAAAGATACAAAGAGTGAAAATATAAAAGAACAGAAATCGGAATGCAATTATGCAGATATTAGCAGAATGGCCCCTAAGATATAGAATGCAATGTAATTTTTAAGAATGATTAGCTTATTCTTGCCATTATAAAACTATAGTACCAACCTGCAGTGAGTTCAGTCAGTGTGATGGATGATCGAAAGTCAATTTCACAAGCATTACCAACCGAATACAAAGATTATATAATCACAAAGTTGAAAGCCCAATTTGGAATATGTTGATAAAATCATACAATTCATTAAAAGCCACATTTAATCATACGGGCCCAAAATTCAAACTTAGGTTATCATCTTACCAGAAAAATATTTGAAAGCTGAAGGCATCAATACCTGAGACACCAGAAACCACCTCAGTAGCTGAGAAATCTTATAAAATGGAATATTGGTCTCATTGGCATGGCAAGTGCCAATTTGGTCTTCCCACAATGAGGTGGCTTATGCAGCAAAATCCCAGCCATTAGTTTCTCACTCAACAACCGTAGCAAGTGCGGATGGTAAAGTGGCACTATAACTTTCTTCTTCAACTCCTCTAGCACTCCCTTAATGCCCCCTAGGTCTCCAAACCTTGATCCCTCCTCTCCCTTCACCTCCATGCTATTAACACCATCAGAAACTGAGCTGTTTATGTCCTTTCTAACTTCAACAGCCACCCTCTTCACACCTCCATCTCTGTTACTCAAATCAACCCTAATCTTATTCACCTTACTCCTAGCAGTCTCCACCTCTGCATTTTTTTTCTCCCAGCTTGATTTTAAGTTGTTGCATTCTGCGTAAGTTGCTCGTAGAATTGACTTCGTTAGATCATACTGAGCCCCCACTTTCTCACCATAAATTGCATCTTCTGAAGTTGAAACAGCTCCATCTTCTTCTTCATCAAATGATGATAACAGCGACAAAGACTTGGGCTGTGACTCGAATAACATTGATGGATGGTCATGCTCAAGCTGTTTCCATTTGACGTGTAACTTTTCTAGACGCTGCAAATTCTCTCCACTTTGATAAATTCTCCTTGGCTTTTTCTTCGAGGGAGTTGTATCGACTTCATCATCATCATCATCATCATCATCATCATCATCATCATCATCATCCAGATTTATAATAGAAGGGGAAGGCTTTTCTATCTTTCTAGTACTTTGCTGTTGTAATGATTCCGAGGAATCTAGAGCTTGTTGTATCTTCCTGGTAAACGGCTGCAGCCTAATATGCCTGTATTCAGGGTAAATGGTGAGAAGATGGTCCACAATTTCATCAAGTGTTAAGCATCTTTGCTGGCTGGATTCTAAGCGACAAGCAAGAATCTTCTCCATTGGAGAGGAGTTTCATCCTACATATCTTTTTCTCATCTATACTATTTCTCTTAGACTCCTTTCTCTCCTCGTCAACTGAAATAATTGCCAAAAAAAAAAAAAAAAACTAATGTCAGAACTAAAGACATATAATTAACTTACGCAGGTGTAAGCTACACTATGATTTCCACTAGTTAGTAATTCTTCATAGAATTTATATTTTTACAAATCAACCAATAAATACATTTGATATGTGTAACTATGCAAAAAAAAAAAAATTGTATTTTTTATTATGCATTTAACGGTCTAAAATTGGGTCATGAAATAGTTAAAAATATTCTATTAATTTGAATTTTAGTGTGTATAATCTAAAAAAATAAAATATTAAATCAAATAATTAGTTTGACAAAATTCAAATTTTACTAAAAATTATTGTTGGATTAAGTCATAGTGTAATTTAATACAGTTATACTAGTGTGTAAATTGATTTTTTTTTTTTTTGAAACTAGTGTAAATTGATCTTAACTTCAAAAATAAATCCAGACAAATAAAAAAATAACAATTGACAATCGAGTGCAAGTATGAACAATCTTCTAAATCCATGAACTATTAAGAAACGATCTTAAAGTCATGATTCCTGAACAAATAAGCATTATAAAAACCAGCTGCAGTCAGAAAACCATCTTATAACTTGAAACAGTTCCCCTCTCCAGCTTTATGATTCTTAATTAGTGCCTGTTTTAACTTTGGGCTATTGAGTAGTTAAGATCAACCTTCTCAAAATCAATCTCAAATTCTTCTTTCCAATTCCTCAAGGGAAGCAAAATTACATAGAAAGCATGGAGTGTGTAGTGGAAGTAGATGCAGTACAAAATAATATATAGAAAACCCACCAAATTGTAATAGAATAAAAGACATAATTTTAATTTTTTTATACTGTATATAAGTGATAAGTTTAAATTTTTATTAAAAAAAAATTTAAAAGTTATTTTTAAAAATAAAAAGAAGTGTATAAAAAGTGAGGAAAAATAAAATTTATAAAAAAAAAAAATTAAAAACTTTCAAAAATTAATAATTTAAAATTTTTTCAAAATAAAAAAAAATAAAAAAAAAAAAATTAAAAAAAAATTAAACTTATAAAGTATAAACAATATAAAAAATATAAAACTCTTACAAACTTCACCAAATATTTTAATTAAAAACAGCAGCTGGAGAAATTGAGTAGACTAAGGATCTTAACGTCGACTGTTCTGTTTTTTAAAGAGGCCGATTCTTGCGGATTCTAGTTTTTCGAGATTAGGAAATGTGACTGACACGCTACACATGCAGTTGGGCTCAGTCCGATTTTGGTTAATAACTTCGGCTTTGTTTGGAATGCTGCGCAATATATTTTTTTAATACCTAAAAAATATAAATAAAATATATATTAGAATCCAATTACCCATAATTTTTACATTGATTACCTACATAAAAAGATATATAATATAATAGTTTTGAAACTAACAATTAGTAGTTTCATTTAATCAATGGTTAATAATAATTGTTATTAATTCTAATATTTTTATTTATTAGATTAAATAAAATCAATAACTGCTAACTCTTATTTATTGAATTAAATGAAACCATTAATAATTAATTTCAAATCAATATGCTAAACAATTTTAAAATCTTAATTATTCATCTCTTCACAATGAATAATTGAGATTCATTCACTTTTTATTATATTTTTAAAAACAATTATTTTTTATTTAAAAGTTTGTGATTAATTTTAACTATTCATGGTAAAGAGATCAATAATTAAGATTTTATGCAAATAGTATATATAAAAATTGTATATAAGTATATCTTTATTCATAAATTATTGAAAAAACAAAAGTTGAGGTTAATTTTACCATTAATATTATATATATTATTTTAATTAAAAAATTAAATAAAACTTAACTTTTATATTTTCAATATCAAATAATATAAAAAAGTATATTAATTATATTCTCATACATAAATTAAAAAAATTTATTAAAATATGAAAAAAGAGCATATCAATTTTGAGTAAAAAAAAATTAGACTTACAACTTTAAATAATATAGTTTCATTTAATTAAAATTCAAAAAATTATTTTATTAAATGTTGATACTTAAATTAAGTTTTTTGAATTTTTAATTAAATTTTAATTAAATAAAATGATTTCATTTAAATTTAAAATTCTAATTTTTAAAGTTAAGACTTAAGTACACTATTTTCTTAAAGTATACTATACAAAATATTTTATATATTTTTAATATATTAAAAAATCAAAAAGCCTACAACCAGTTTATGTTTAAAAAAAAAAAAAAGAGCCTACAACCAGTTTGTAACCCAAACGTTCTCAAAGAAAGTCTTTCAAGTTTCAAGGTTGTGAAACGTAACCGACCTGCTACACATATAGGCTGGTTCAATTTTCGGTTTTGGTTCGACGACTTAACCACTTATTTTAAAAAAATAAAATAAAACTTAAAACGTAACTGGCCTGCCATAAATTAGAAGATTATGGACCTACCTGAACTATACTCAAAAGTTTGAGGGCCACCAGTTTTAATCCAAACAAAAGGTTTTTGTAATGGCGAAGGCGATAGAACAATCCCATCACGATCTCAATCTTCTCCACTTCTCTGGCAATCGTTCTCGATTAAGGTAGGGATTTCCGCCTTCTGCTACAATTCAATTTGGTGGGTTTTCTATAATATTATGTTTCTTGTTTGTATCTGCTTCCACTTAGCTTATTACTTGGTTTGATAGTGGTGCCGATCAAAAAAATCAAAACTTGGTTTGATATTAGTGTTTTATTTTGGATTGGTTTCTGCTTTGGTTTGAATGGGGTTTTGGGCAATTGGGTTTTCAGGATTTGATGTTTCTCGGAAGAATTCCAAGGAATTTGAGATTGGTATAAGTAGCAGCATAAACACTAATACCATATTGAGAAGGATGATCTTAATTACTTATGAGCTGAAAGTTAAATCATGTTAACTTTTAAATTCTAAAGTAATTTTGTTCGTTTCTATGCCAATTAGCTTTATCATGTCATTTTTAATTTTACATTCAAATCACTAAATTGTATATTATAACGTAACTTTTAGCATATCCAAGGAGACAATTGTTGGGTGTTTCCTCATGTTTGTGTATTTGGTGCAGAGAATCATTTAAGTGTTCCTGAAGGGAATCAAAGGGATCAGGTTTATCTTACTCAGAATAGTAACTATTAAGAGAGAAAATGTCAAGTGGACCTGTGGGGAGGGTCTCTCAGCAAGATAAACAGCTGGTAAGATATCAAGCTTTAAATTTAATAAAAGTTTTTGGACTGTTATGTTTATGCATTGTGTGATTACAAATAATTTTGTCTTATTTGAAAAAGTTGATTGCATTGGTGAAAGAATCATGCTGTGTGAGGTGAATCAGCAGTCAGGCCTTTCTTGTTGATGAAGAACAATCATTTTGTTAGTTACTTCATCAGTTTCTGATTTTTAAGCTTTTGTAGTATTTCAATTCTTTTACTCTGTTGAAAGATGAAATTATTTATTGGTAAGTTTGAGAAGGTTTTATATTAAGAATTTGTGCTGTGAAATCTTTAATTTTGAAAATTTAGAATTTGCATTTTGTTGGATGAATTGATCCTTTATTGATCAGATAGTTACATGCCCCACTCGGTGAAACAAATTCCATATGATAGTGAATCAATATATACATGGAACAAAAGAAATCTAAAGGTAGAGGACCTGAAGGTAGAAGCTGGTTTTGTTGGATGAAAGATAGGAGGCTGTCTTGTATTTTAAGTTTTGGTGGAGGATTATTACATGGTTATAGTGTTTTCTTGTCAAAGAGGCTTATAGAAGAAATTTTATTTTGATGGATTGATTCTTTTTCTTTTTTCTATGGTTGATTTCAGGTGCAAAAGCTTATAGAACGATGTCTTCAACACTACATGAACCAGGAGGAAGTAGTTGAAACTCTACTGGATGAGGCAGAAATAGAACCTAGTTTTACAGAACTTGGTAATCCAAAAATTACATTTTTCACAAGTCATAACCTCTACTGATATGCACCACATAATCAGATTCATGTGGATACTTTACAGTTGTTGTGCATCACATGTTTTCTTATGCTTTTAATGAAATTTTCTTGCTTGCCAGTCTGGCAAAATCTTGAGGAAGAAAATCGAGAATTCTTTGAGGCATATTATCTCAGGTTAATGGTGAAGCACCAAATAATAGAATACAATAAGCTGCTTGAGCAACAGGTGCAGTTGATGCATCAGATGCGTCCAACTGGGTTCTCTTCAATATCTACTTCTAATGGATCTCATATCCCACCAAGTAAGGTGCTTTTTTCTTTTGCTTAGTTGGACATGCTTATTGCAATTTACATGTCATGGATATGTGCTATATTTAGTGGGATTGTTAGCTTTCTGAATGTGCTTTTAATTGAGATATGATTTATGAAAAACAACAAGATGTTTCTCTATCCTAGAATACTGTTTGGTTGAAAGAAGAAAGTAAAGGAATTTTTTTTTTTTTTTCCTATTGTTTATAATCCTATTCATGGTATAAAAGTAAAGTGTGGTGAAGAGAAAAGAATGGAAACCCTTGTTTAAATTCTTCTGTGAAGTTTATGTGGTTTGGCGGCAATGCGACTAAAGACTTCATTCTTTAATTAATCGCATATGGCTGTTGATTAAAAATACCAATTGGAAAACAGTTACTCTGCTCCTCAGTTTCCCTGCTTCAATGATCATCTCTCTCAATCTCTTATTAACTTTTGATTTTTTTTTTTCCTTTAATAGATCATCTTTGCTAAACTATTTTCTATTTAAACTAAAAGTGAGATTGCCATGCCAAGTGTCCTA